AGTTAAGAGGCCGGGGACCTCCACATTACGCCCCGAATTTTTCCCAAAAAAAAAAACAACAACAACCATTACGCCCCGAGTCAACACAGGAAATGATCCCCTTTGTTGGTAAAAAAAAAAAAAAAAAAAAATCGAGATGACGATGGCACACGGGCAGGCCTACAAAAAAAAAAAAAAAAAAAGAAGGTACACCTAAGATTCTTCAAAAAAAAAAAGAGAGTAAAAGCGAACATGAAGCCAGAATTTACTTTTTTTTTTTTTTTTTTTTTGCAACCCGAATTTACGTGGGGGCCTCAGAACTCAAAGAAGATCAAAGATGATATCAAACTCAGCCGGGTCAGCCCTTCGCCTCTTGTTAAGAGGGGGAGGAAGAAACACAACACAGTAATGAATGAGGAGGTGGAAAGAATGCGAAGACCGGACTCCCCGAGCAGCTTCTCGCTCCCACCCTCCCACCCTCCCACCCTCCCACCCTCCCACGCTCCCACACAGAGTGGTGGTTAGCTATCGAGACGGAGGCGACGATCGGGTATCCTTGGGAGAATGAGAGAGCTAGTACGTGTATGGCGTCTAGAAAGAGATAGCTAGCTGTGTGGAAGGAACAAAGAGATAGCTAGCTGTGTGGAAGAAAGAAGGAGAGAGCTGTGGAAAAAAAGAAAGAAAAAGAAAAAAGAAAAAAAAAGAGAGACCTGTGTGCGAATTGGCGGCTGCACGTGAAAGACTACAAGTGATTCTTGTGAGAAAGAGAGGTAGTAGGTGTGTGGAAGAACGAAAAAAGCCAAAAGATACCTGTGTGGAAGAGCAAAAGAAAGGGGTAATACGTGTGTGTGGAAGATCGAAAGAAGGAGAGAGAGGTAGTAGGTGTGTGTGGAAGATCTAAAGAAGGAGAGAGAGGTAGTAGGTGTGTGTGGAAGATCGAAAGAAGGAGAGAGAGGTAGCAGGTGTGTCACAGTGGAAGATCGAAAGAAGGAGAGGGAGGTAGTAGGTGTGTGGAAGATCGAAAGAAGGAGAGAGAGGTAGTAGGAGTGTCACAGTGGAAGATCGAAAGAAGGAGAGAGGTAGTAGGTGTGTGTGGAAGATCGAAAGAAGGATCTCTCTCTCTCTCTCTCTCTCTCTCTCTCTCTCTCTCTCTCTTGTCTCTAGCGTGGCGGCTGCAGGTGAAAAGACTCCAAGTGACACTCTCAGGCTTGTGAGAAGAGAGAGGTAACCACCATGCATGACTTCTGTCTGACTTTCCCCTTTGCCGGGATTCTGGTAATGGGAGGCCTGGTCGGGTTCATCAAGAAAGGGAGCTCGGCTTCACTCCTAGGAGGAGTAGGGAGTGGAGGCATACTCTTCCTCGCTTCACTAATTAGTCTATCAGCATACAACAACGGCACGAGCTCGATGGCGGCGCTGGTGGTAGAAACCGTGGTGTCAGCCGCGTTGAGTGTGGTTATGGGAAAGAGGTACATGCAAACGACCAAGTTCATGCCAGCAGGATTAGTAGCCAGTCTGAGCGTCGTGATGACCATGTTTTATGCGATGAAGCTCATGACAGGAGGCAATGATATCCGACAAAAACTTAAAAAGTGATGCGCAGAAGCTGGACTGAACGTTCATCGAAGCTGGACTGAAGATTCATCGAACGTTCATCAAAGTTGGACTGAACGTTCATCGAACGTTCATCGTAGCTGGAGTGAGATTCATCGAACGTGGGACTGCTGAACATTCATCGAACGTGGGTGGGACTGAACATTCATCGAACGTGGGTGGGACTGAATATTCATCGAACGCGGGACTGAACATTCATTGCACGTGGGAATGAACATTCATTGAACATGGACATTCGTCAACGTTATGTGCACGCTGTGTCTACGTGTGACGAAATGTGTCCTGCTTGAGTGAATGTCAGTCAAATCTGACTGGGTCGTACTATGCATTGAGCCTGGACATTCAGCGAACGTGATTGGTATCAGATTGCAAATGAGAGTTGTATGTTGTGTGGGGTTATAAGAGAAGAGATGAGGAGGTGGTGGTGGTGGTTGTTTTTTTTTTCTTTTTTTTTTTT